ATAGTATGGGTTTAGGGGTTTGGGGGTTTAGGGGTTTAGGGGTTTAGGGTTTAGGGTTTAGGGTTTAGGGTTGGGTTTAGGGTTTAGGGTTTTTTTGCCTCCTACTTAGCAAGGACAAGCCCGCATTGCAGGGTAATGTGCTGTCATGGTGTTTGCAAACAAACCTGTCTTTTCGGCTTCACTAATTAAGCAAGTTTAGGGCTTAGGGTTGGGGGGGGGCTGGGACCAGATGTGTGCCTTCGCTGATCCTTCGGTTCTGTCTTTGCCGCAGATGCAGGGCTCACCCATGGAGCCTAGATCACATGGTAACCCTTGCTTTCAAGCAAGCCGCGAGCGCTCGGACTACGGAATCAACCAATGACAGGCCCCCTTGTCCCTAAACCCTAACCCCCTTGTCCCCCACCGAGGTTGCGCTCTGCACAGTTGACATTTGGCTCGAAGAGATGCAATGAGACACGACGGCTATCAGCGATTCGAAAGAAGAAGCCACTGGCCTCCCCACTGGGAGAGCTATTTGGGTCCAGCCAATCTGTAACTGAAGTAGTCTCAACCATATAAACCCTGCACTAAGCCCTTGTTGTGCTCTATCCCACGAAGTGTGAACCTGATGGAATCCGACTCCGACAGACCCTTCCTGCGCAGCCAGGAGGCAGGTGTTGTTGTAGCCGCACTCCACGCGCACACAGCTGTGAATGCCTCTGCACGTAAACCAGTGTATAGGTAAGTATACGCATATGTATATACACACATACATATACACGCATAATATGTGCATACACATGTCTGTGGTATATGCATACTACATGCATACGTAGGTGCGTAGATGCATGCACACATACATACATACATACATACTTCCTTCCCTCGTTAGTTACACAGGCATACACACAAATACATACATACATACATACATACATACATACATACATACATACGTACATACATACATAGATACATACATACATACGTACATCTACACATTACATATATAAAGCACACACACTCACATGCATACACAAATACATACATACATACATACATACATACATACATACATGCATACATACATACACCCATGCATGCATGCGTACATACATACATTACATACATGCATGGCATTGCATTGCATTGCATTGCATTGCATTGCATTGCATTGCATTGCATTGCATTGCATTGCATGGCATTGCATGGCATGGCATGGCATGGCATGGCATTGCATTACGCTACATTACATTACATGACACTACATACATACATACATACATACATACATACATACATACATACATACATACATAAGTACATACATACATACGCACATACATACATACGTACATACATACAATACGTACGTACATACGTACATGACAAACATCCTTGCATGCATGCAT